TTGCGTAGTTGGTGTCCTGAATTCTGTGCGTAACTTCACTACTACTACTTCCATTATCATTACAGTTTACCTTAAGGCTGTCCGTGCACACTGCTATGAGCCATGTTTAACATTGTAACCGCAGAGAATGACCTCGATACTGGAACCTAAAATGATCGTCTTCCGATAGCCTTGTTGGTCCAGATAGCCAGTTTACAGGTAGAGAAATAGAACACAGCTGGGAGCGCGTACGAATTTACTTATTATGCAAAACTCATGGTTATTTGTAGGGAAGTGGGAAGAAATAGGGAAGCATATGCCAAACACTTGTTTGACTGGATAGTTGCGGATCGTCTTGACTGGTTGGCTGTTTCGACCAATCACATGAGTTCGGTTATCCTTGTTCTGATTGGTTATCCCGAAACAGGATATATATATATATATATATATACTTCCTGGGTACAAGTATGTGAATGAACTGACAAAAGATTACCGGATACGCGTGCCTGAAGAGCGGCAAGAACTGCGAAACCGATCGTGTGCTTCCAGGGAAATTTTGTCCAGTCATTCACATACTACTCATTATGAAATATATATATTTGATATTCGTCACATAAACCCATTGTAAAATATATATCGATATAATCTGGCAGTCCATTTATTACTGAGCTTATGGACTTTTCGATGAAGTGCGTCTTTCGGATATTTCTTGATTATTTTTCTGCGCTCCACTCGGTTTCTCAGGTTTTCCTTCAATACAAATTAGAGTCTTTTCGTTGTCCTGTGCCGGTTCCTTCGTGGTTAGTTTATTGACAGAGTTCAACACATCTAACAGGAGAATCATTCTTCTTGACCTTTGGTGAATAAATTTTGGGTTGACAAGGTACAGTCCTTTAATCTTACTTAGTCACCACTTATATTAGTCACTTATATGTACAATCACCTGTCAAACTCATTACGTACTCAGATAACTCATTATGTCACGCTAATTCAAATCAGTCTGATTTCCATTCTTTATCTGATGATCTCACTCATATTTCCGGACATCCGGAAATCTGGCAATTCCAGCAATCAGGCCTTAATCTCAACTTATCTAAATGCTTTGTGTGAATCCTCTTCCTCGAAAGAAACTTCGGGCATTGACGGTTGTCCCGTTTGAATAATGAACACTACTAAGTAACTTGGTGATCCCATGGAAAGTAACTGTAGATGGTCTACCCAGATCCTGAGTAATCTTGGCAAACTCAGATGATTTTCTTTCCATATTCGTAGATTGAGGCAAGTTACTGATAATCGGTCTGTTATCTCTGCCATACTGTGCGACCTCCGTATTGATTCCTGAGAACGTTTTGATCACAAAATCTTCGCTGATCACACACTTCCCTTTTATTCCGAAGAATCTACCATTCGTTTTCATCGTTCAACAAGGTGGAGTTTTTTACTCGTTCCTGCTAGAATTGACTGATAAAAATATGCCTGTTATTTATATATTTAATCCGTATCCGTACTGACAAAGATAGTGGCAAATGAGTTACGGTTGAACACTGTAGATTGAGTGGACACTCTTTTCTTTTTCCTCCGTCTGCATTTCTGTTTTTCGTCTGTATTCCTCTGTGACGGCGTTACACGTGTTTTTTGGCAGAAATATAGGCATATCTGCTTGCAAAAGTATGTAGTACACTGTAAAACAATATGATATAACGAAAAAACACGAACGTGCTAACATTGAGAAAACACATGAGTTAACAAAGGCTGTTTTGGAAACAGGGTTTATTCGCTTCTGTTTTCTAAATGTCATGATGGAAATAGCCAGTGAATAGTAATAATAATATCAAATTTCAGTACTCGCTATATAAAACAATTGCAGTATCAGTTTGCAAGAGGAAGGATGCTCTCAAACATGAAATATTTATAAAGTAGAATGAATTTGGACGGCAGAAATGCGATTCAAGCATGCGACATGCGAGGCGATATTGATGGTGACCTAAACCGACTGACCACTATCGCCGAAGTTAACTCTTCTATCAAGTACGCGCTGACGACAATTAAAAGCATGTTGAAAGTATTGAAAATCGGTTCTCGTAACTAGGGTGAACTGAATTCTATTTCAAATCCGATGGAAATGTTTGTGATAACCAACAAAGAGCACTGGACAGCTGTTTCGTCCCGTTTGGGACTCGTCAGCGGTGCGTACTTTTTCTGTCCCTGTCAGGACTCGAACCGCATTTGAATGCATTGGCTCGTGGGGAATTAACGATCTCCCAGGGAGTGAAACCCACACCCAAGACCATCAAGAGTCCCTCTGAACAATCGAATGGGCTAATCCAAGCTTGATACTCTGAATTCTATTTACTCTGTTCGCCGAGCTTGGCAATTTATTTGCAAACGTTTCATCACCAGCCACTTCACAAGCACTAATGATGTCACCTCGGTTGATGATGAAACGTTTGCAAACAAATTGTCAAGCTCGGCGAACAGGTGAAATAGAATTAACAGCACATTAACTCTCTCCCTGTCAATGCGAGTGTCACTGCAATTGCAGGTGAAGTGATAGACGCCATGCGAAGCGGAATTGGGAAGCATTTTTTGATTGTGGGTAGTATGCGATATCCAACACATTTGTGTAGCAGGGACTATTCGAACCAAAGCTGCCTCGAGTAATTGACCTACACCTTTTATGAGGCAAATGCCCTTGAAAGCTGCCATGATGAGGAAGCTTTTATTTGGTGAGTTTGCAGGTAGGGTAGACCACTGACCTACGCCAAATATGCACATAAATGCATTTCTTCAGATAATCCAAACCCATGTTTCTCTGCTTCGTGAAACCGTTGTACTCTCTGGGGAAGGGCGATAGAAAAATTTTGAGCACTACGACATAATCAGTGCTACAGACAGATTACGTTCATTCAAAAGCAGAAACAGACAGCGTTTATATATGCATTACCCAACAAACGAACCTTGGAATGTTGTTTTACAACACAGGATTAAATGCATAATTTAATGACGAAAATCTGTTAAGAACTGTTCAAAAAAGAAACCATTGCATTCGTTGGACAGCGAATCCCAATAAAATAATAAATTACTCACTTCGCGCACATCTTGTGAGCTGGCCATCAACGCGGACCGGGTCGCATAGTAATGGGCGACAAGTAGCATGCGTTCGAAAATTTCCGCGGTTTCGGTCTCAATGTCTGCCGCGTGGATTGCATTCTGATGCAAATCGAATAGCATATTTCTTAATGCAGACCATGTGGAATAGCCTTCCGGACCGGTGAGACTTCGCTGACTGGTAATATCCTATCAAGTAGATAGGTGTAGTACATCAGAAACGATTGACTACCGGCCGATATGATTAGCATCATATGCTTGCAAGGTGATCAATGAGAAAAATGGCAATGCCTATAAGCAATCGTCTCTATATTATCCCAACCTGGTAAGGCTGGGGGGAAAAAATTGATGAGATTCAACACATATCGTGATCACAAAAGAATGTTCGTTGAATGACATATTTCAAGTATGTCAATGAATAAGTTTCCTCAGCATATGATATTTACTGAGGCATACAATGATTGGAGTAATGTCTATGGTGAGAAGATCATTCCCTAAAGTGAGTGCACGAAAACCGTGACCAGTAAACTTAATCCCGTACCTTGTGTTTGGTTTTCCAGCTAAATCCCTCATGCTGTCATTGCTAACACAACCAGATCTGATAAAGTTGACTTTTGATAACCATTTTTGTCCCTTGTTCACATGTTCTGTTCGTCTTGTTTAACTATGGAATGATTCAGGAGGCCGATATAACAGGTCTAGGTGTGGAAAACTCTTGAACCAAATGTTGAACGGTTTTGGTGGGGATACCTTTAATCATTTGAAGAAAACAATGTGTTTGTTTTGGCCTTTTCATGGTAAGATCGACCGTTTCATTTGCCGTCACCCACGCTACCCGTATTTTTAAGCCTTTTAACCTTGTGCATAATCGTTCCCATGTTAACAGTCTCTACACTTGCAAGCATCATGCTGTATCGCAAAGTAGCTTTAGTTTCATCGCAAGCTGATTGGTGAAAAGACCTGACCAGTTTCCTCGTTCTGTGTTGACCACTCAATCACAATCAGTCGTGCCCCATTGTCTGTGGTCTATACTGAGCCAGGCATGAACGATCTGAACTGTATTGGATAGTGGTTGGGCCAATGATAACCCACCCAGGTAAGCTGAGGTAAACTCTGCAGGTTGATGCTCGTTTTCTTCAACAAAGGAATCAGACGTACACATGCCTTCCTCGTCGTCAGACCGTTCTGTTTCACCTAGAAGTTTGAACCAGCCAACACCAAAATACGCTGTTAGTCCAAAAACGGATACCCCGCTTCATCCGAAGAAAACATACATAGGTCTATTTAACCAAGATCTATGATCTCAATGCGGATAAAATAACTCATAAAAACGCTAACATCACATTTTCTGTTTTTCTACCTTTTTATACTGGAATAACTCTTGATGGGGGACTGGTAGCCCCATGGCTACTATTCATAGGAAACCATGGAATTAAGAAAGAGGGAACTGTCTCCAGCACCGTTCACAGCTGTTTTACCACTCGGTCACCAAGTACGAAATAGTAGGTGGACTGAAAGCACAGCAAAACCCTCGTGTCCTCGAGCACCGATGTCAAATTCAGACGCTCCAACTGCCGGCACGCCACTTGGTGTCCGCCCTCCTCGAGCCACAGACAAACGCAGATCGACCACGTCGCAATAAGCCACAAATGACGGGGCTGCATTCAAGACTGACGATAGTACTGGAGCACTCGCCTTTAATCCGATCACGCATTAGTTTACGCCAAGCTGTCCATATGCTTCGGTGGGCGTTCTAAACGCACGACACAGCAACGATTAGACTGTGATAAGCTGTCCAAACCAGCTTGTCTAACGGTCCTCCAAAACGCGCTGGCTGAAAAGCTAGAACCAAGCCCACCCGACAATATCAATCAGCACTGGCCACTTATCAAGAACTGTGAATTTTACTGGCTTAGTTAGTTGAGGTCTGACACGTCGCGCTGTGACACCCTGGATCTCTGTGGAGTCTCCACGTCTTCTTGCCGCATATCGGTCAATTCCGACCGGCAGCGAGCAGAATAAAACACGACTCGTAACGAGACATGAACTTAATGCAAGCCTACGCAGAGACCGCCAAATCTGATAGACTGAATGCTTGTCAGAGATGGAACGTGCTGCCGCCATGGGTAATACCCGTAAGCTGTTCCATCTCATCCAGGTTACCGGTAGGAAAGCCTTGGGTGTGAGCGAAACAATCTAAGAAGCCGACGGTTCACCCACTCATAATCAACAGCGACGCCTTGCATGCTGGGTGGAGCACTTCAAAGAACAATTTAGCTGGCCACCAGCGTCAGCTTCTCACACAGCTATTTCGGCACCCGTCCCATGGTCTGTCTCAACAGGTCCACCCTCTGAGACGGAAATCCGTAAGGAGCTCCAAGCCTTGGCAAGTCACAAAGCGCCAGGTTCCGATGACCCTCCCCTGCTCTATTTAAAGATGGTGGAATAAAGCTTGTTAGACAAACACAAGTTCTGTTCTCTAAAGTTTGGAACACTGAGCCGGTCCTCTCCTCGTGTGGGGTATCGATTGTCGTCCCCGTCTTTAAAAAGAGTCCGCGCAATGACTGCGCCGGGTATAAGACTTTTCCCAATAGCGTCAAAGCTGTTGGCATCCGTCATTCTCCACCGATTGTACACTATGCTTGAGGAGCAGACCCGCGAGGACCAGGCTGGGTTTCGCGCCGGTCGTGGATGCATCGATCAAATCTTCACCCTCCGACAGCTGCTAGAGCACCGTCATACCTATCAAAGACCAACGACATCCGCGCGACCTTCGACGCCGTCGATAGGACCGCGCTATGGAACTTTTTATTGAGAGTGAAGTACCTGAGAAGTATGTTGCGATCCTTAAAGAGTTGTATCGTCACAGCTCAGGTCAGATTAGGGGCTATGACCAATTTTCGCCACCCTCCGCCGTCTCCAGTGGAGTTCGGCAAGGCTGCCGTATATCCCCATCCTTTTTCAAATTTGTCATTGAGGATGTTCTACAGACTGGAGTCGAACTCCTTCCAGGGAACAGAGTCCTTGACTTAGAATATGCCGACCATATCGCCTGGCTGGGTGGTAATACACAGG